GAGAAAATGGCACGGTAGGTTGCCTTTTCTTTTCTGGACTGTAAAGAAATACCGAAATTTTCCGATTTTTTAGAAATAAATCTTGAGTAAACCCAACATTTATATGCTTTTAAAAGTCATTTTTGGACAAAATCAATATAAAAAATTTATAAATGAGGAAAGACCAATAATGCCCAAATCTGCTCAAATTCCCAAATTTCAGGCTTTTGGTTAGACATGGCGTCGTCGTGGTTACGATCCAATACCGCTTAGGTTTTCTCGGCTACTTCTGTACCGGCGACAATGTCTCTAAAGGCAATTACGGATTATGGGATCAATATGAGGTAGGTTACTGTACTTAAAGACTGCTTCAGTGGTTCTATTCAGAATTTTGGAGTTTAGGCTTTGAAATGGACTAAGGAGAATATTCATCATTTTGGTGGTGATCCTAATCGGATTACTGTAGCCGGTCAAAGTGCTGGAGCTGTTTCAGCCGACTTACTTTCGCTTTCCCCTCTTTCTCGAGGTTCGTTGACTCCTGAACGGATTTCTTGAATTTTGAAGGGCTGTTTCAATCTTTGTGGATTTAGACATGTTCCAACGGAAGATTGTGATGGGTGGGAACACATTTTGTTACTGGGCCATGAGAAAGAAAGAGAAATGCGTCGAGTATTGTCGGCAGAAGGCAATGCGGTTAGGTTGGAGGCCTAAAGAAGAAGGTTATGATAGTCATGAAGAAGAAAGCGCCGATATGTTGGAATTTATGAGGACTGTGCCAGCTCAAAGGTAGAATTTTGGTTTTTTCAAAGGAATTTTTTGAAAATTTGATAATTTTACCAAACCCAATTATATTCGCAGTTTTTCAAAGTTCCATATTGCAGCCTAGCCTCGCATATGATCGGAAATCGTGTATTCTTTACGGAAGGTTGTCTCCCACTTACTCCCGTCATCGACGGGGAAATTCTTCCCAAAGAAATTCCCCAACTTCGAGCGGAAGCCCCAGCTATGGAGTCAATTTGTGGTGTTGGAAAACAAGAATCGCTACTTTTTTGTAAGTCACATTGTACCATTCGCGCAGTGAACGCTGGATTACTGTAATCTCTTTGTGCTCAGGTGCACTTGGTGCGATTAGAGGCACCGGGAAGGATATGGACAAGGTAGTGCACCAATTGGCCAAAAAGACAGAGCTAAACGTTGCCGAGGTGGAGAATCTGATTGGGCATTTGTACGGAGATTTAAATTCACTGCGTAGGGATCGGAAAGCAATGCAGGACGCCTACGTTACGGTCAGTGAATCAGGGATTGCTTGCGATATAATAATCAATAAAATCAATAACGCAAAAAATGCTATGAAACAAACAATTCTTATATGTAGTTAATTAGTAAGTTCACATGGAAAGTTTACAGACCATTTTTCTCCTCTTTGACCAATTCTGAACTATTTTTTCGCCTTCTCTGCCCCCGGAAACCTTCAAAATCCTCCAGAAACTGTCACAAAATCTAGAAAACCACTGAAATTTCCTAGACATCGTTGATCTTTTTCCCCTTTTAGTGTACTTCCGACATCTTCTCCAATTATGGCTGCTACCGATACCTACAACATAGCCAACAACACGACAAATCCACCTACGCTTACTACTTCTCCTATACGAGTAAACCTATGTGGGGATGGCTAATGGCAACGTCTCCTATCTTAAGTATGCATAATCTCCCCATAAAGTCCTTTAAACTCCCTAAAATTCGTTTCTTTTCAGCCGGTACCCATAGCTCAGATATTATATACCTGTTTGACTGTAATTACTATTCATCCCCCTTCCCAATGAATAAGACGGATAAAAAGGTTTCCGAGATGACTAGTACTGCCTTCATGGAATTTGTTAAATCTGGGTAAGTACTATTACTTGCAAGGCTTGAGTGCAGCATTTTAAATTATTGTAATTTTCAGAAATCCAAATAAACCTGAAGCTCCGTTCAAGTGGGAAGCGGTGCCAAAGAATGGAGAAATGAAAATGCTAGACTTTTGCGAAAGGCCAACAATGATTGATCAAGTCAGTTTTACTGCGTCGCTCTACATCTCCTGAATTTTATTTTGAACACAAGAAAAAATCAATCAATACAGCAGGGTTTAGCAGGCCCCATTGTTCCATACTGTAATTGTACTCCAGAGCGAATGATTGGTCACAAATGCATTTGGCATGACGTGAAATTTGTGGCCGATCTGAAGTCTGCGCATCCTGGATTTAATTTGTTTTGTGCAATAACACAATGACGCCTTCTAGATACTGCACAGTAAAATTCTATTTGAATTTTGAACATACAGAAATTTTTGATTGCTTTTAACAAAATTCAACCACAGAGCTTTAAGTTGGAATTCGATAAGCAATTTGAAAGCAGAAGAACATTTTTTGAGCGAATCTTGCAATTGTATTAGGTTGAAGGAAGAAATTACCGATAAAATGACATACACACAAAAGTTTGCAAACTCACGAAGCACAATTCTCAATCTATTTAATTTATAAATCCTCGAAATGACTCACTAACAGATTTGAAAAATCGTTTTTCAGGTTTTCAACAATCGAATGGAACGGTTGCAAGATCTTCTAAAGCAAAAAATACCACGTAAACTCCAATATTTGTAACTTCACTCTCAACAGCGGCTTCCGATT